GGAGGGAGGAGAATTCAAACCAGGGTGGTTAGTCCGTTGCTACTGCAGTCAAGCACTTGCAGGAAGCGCAAACGCCCGAGCTCGAGGGGAAGCGACAAGAGCTTGTTGCCTGGTAAAGTTCAACCTCTGAAGCAATGGTCAGGGAGATGGAAAAGGGAAGAGAAGAGGAAGAGAAGGAGGAGGAGAGAAAGGGAGGGGAGGAGGAGGGGGAGGGAAAAAGAAATAGGGACAGGGGAGGAGATGTAAGATGGGAAGAATAAGGCGGGAGGGTAGGAGAACAACTTGTAGGCTCGTGCTGAGCTTTTCGATCTTAGACGGCAAACTTGTGATTCCACATCGTTCGATGTGCAACACACGCAGGTTTGGGATCTTCAAAGAACGTCAAGCTCATCCCCCCAGCAAGGATCCATACATCTAGAGCGCTTTCAGGGAACGAGGTCAGAGTCTTCTCCTTCCATGTCTGTCAAACAACACGCGCCAACCATCTCCTCTTCCTGTTACCGTCAGGTTAAAGATCCCTGTCTTCGCAGCATTCTCCAGCCTCTGTTGTTTTGACGACTTGTTCCCCATGCTGCGAGCTGAACTTATGCAATCACGTGGGTCACACCATCCAACCTTGTGAGTGCAGTCCGAGCTTCTTCTTCTGTCCCGGCAGGTTTTTCTCTGCACAAGCTTCTCACTGACTCCTCCCTCGTTCGCTTCTCCCTCCCTCCCTCCCTCCTTCCCCTTCCTCCTCCCCCTCCACTCCTCCCCCTTCCTCCTCTTCCTCCTCCTACCTCTTCAGTCCCAGGCAGTTGCCCATCGCCGCCCCATTCGTACCTCTACCGTGACTACCCTACCATAGCTACTGAGCCCGAGAGTACATACAATGGTAGGTAGGGGTAGTTGACGCAACTTTTACTCTGATAGCACTAGGAGGAGCCGAAGGTATCGGGCAGCCTACCGAGACTCTCCTCCTCCTCCTCCTCCTCCATCCCAGGCAACATCCCCAACACTCCTTCATCCTCGGAATCTCCTCCCTTGCCCCCTCCTTCTCCCTCTCCTCTCTCCTCCTGTGCTTCGCCTGTCCCCGATGCAACACACCTCCCCTCTGCGTCCTCCGTGTATCCGGCCTTGCACCGGCAGCCTCCCTCCTCCTGGTCGAAGTACGCATGCTCGCCCGCGATGCTGTGGCAGAAGCTGTTCTCTGCCTCTGTCCCTCCCTCCTGCGTCTCGGAGGATGCAAGCGCTGGGCCCTTGCGCCTGGCGCGATGCTCCCACTGAGCGGCAGACTTGGGATCAGCCTTGAGGGCCTCGTTCCACCTGCGAAGAGCCTCGTCCTCTTTCTTCTTCTTCTCCACCTCGTCCTCCTCTATCTTCTCCTTTCCGCCGATGCCTCTTCCCTCTCCTCCTCCTCTCTTCTGCTCTCCCTTGCCCCCTCCCTCCGTCCCTCCACTCTCCTCCTGTGCTTCGCCTGTTCCCGATGCAACACACCTCCCATCTGCGTCCTCCGTGTACCCGGCCTTGCACCGGCAGCCTCCCTCCTCCTGGTCGAAGTACGCATGCTCGCCCGCGATGCTGTGGCAGAAGCTGTTCTCTGCCTCTGTCCCTCCCTCCTGCGTCTCGGAGGATGCAAGCGCTGGGCCCTTGCGCCTGGCGCGATGCTCCCACTGAGCGGCAGACTTGGGATCAGCCTTGAGGGCCTCGTTCCACCTGCGAAGAGCCTCGTCCTCTTTCTTCTTCTTCTCCACCTCGTCCTCCTCCGTCTTCTTCTCCACCTCCTCTTCCGCAGTCTTGGAGCTCGAAGTCTCAGACGCCTTCGAGCCATCGGACTCGCACGACTCTCGAGTCAGCCCGCACATCTCCCCTTCCTCTCCTTGCGAGGCTTCGGCTCCCCTGGCTTCACCAGTTGCCGTCCCTCCTTGTTGGCATCGCTCAGAAAGAGCCTTGAGCTCCTGCTGAAGTTTTTGCTTTTCTTTGCGGAACGAGTCGACTTTCTCCGCCTCCTTCTTCAGTCTCTTCTCAGCTGCTTCTCGCTTCCTCTCCTCCGCCTTGAGACTTGCTGTCACTTCCTCGCAGCTCTCCTGCCCCTGGCTCGACTGCGTCAGCTTCTGCTTCAGGTCCCTCATCTCCTGCTGCAGACTCTGTTTCTCCTTGCGAAACTCGTCTGCCTTCTCTCTCTCCCCCTTCGCCTTCTTCTCCGCCACCTCTCGTTTCCTCTGCTCCATCCGAATATCTGCTTGTAGCTTCTCTATCTCTTCCGAATTGCAGGAACCAGCGGCAGGAGAGGCAGGAGCAGCGTCTGGATCCTCCTGCAGCTTGAGCGGCCTGTCTGAGAGGGCCTCGTTGCATTGCTGGAGGGAAATGTTGCACTCGTCCACCTCCTGCTGCAGCTGCCGGTTGATGCCCGAGCATGCGACGTCGCTGGAGGCTGCGAGAGCAGGAGGCTCCTGCTGATCCTTGAGAGCGAGGTCACGAGACGCGAGCTCCTCCTGCAGCCCCGCCAGCCTCACCTGCAGCTCCTCCGTCCTCGTCCTCTCCTCGCCACCAGCCTGAGCCTCTGCCGCCCGAGCATCGACGCACTCCTTGAGCGAAGCCTTGCACTGCTCGACCTCCTCCTCCTTGGATGCGACCTTCGTCTCGCTCTGCTGGAGAGCAGCACGGACCTCCATGTGCTCTCGCTCGGCGTCGCTCCGACAAGCAGCCAACGACGCGTTCAAGTTGGCGGCTTGATCTTTCAACAGGTCGTGCTCAGTCTCGCACGTCTGACGCGACTCTCTCGCTGCTCTCAGAGTCTCTTCGTTGGATCTCAAAGAATTCTTCAGCTCCTCCACTTCTCTCGCCTTCTCCTCCACCTGCCGCTGCAGCCAGTTGCGATCGAGCTCGAGGCTGCGCATGCTTGACCGAACTCGTTCTGCCAACGTGGTTGTCGTGTCATTAGCAGCCAAGGCAGCTGACTCGTTGCCTTTCAGTGCCTGCCGGATGGCATCGGCCTCGTAGGTGAGCTGGGAGTTGTGAGATCGGAGGGAGAGCAGCTCCGACTTGAGGGCCTTTGCCTCCTCCTTCAGCTCTGCCGTCTCGTTCTCACACCTCAGCTTGAACCTCAGCAGATCTTCGTTGCGAAATTTGAGCTCGGTCTCTTCTCTCGCCCTCGCCACCTCCTTGGTCAACGTCTCCCTCGTGTTGTCCTCTCGCTGCTTCCTCAGAGACTCGATCTCCTCCTCCTTCTTGCGAACTTCAACTTGCGCCTTGTGATGAGCGTCCTCCAGCTCTCGTCGGATCCTCACTTGCTCTGTCAACTCGTTCTGCGATCGCTCCGCTTGCTGTACAGCAGCCGCCAGCTGCCTGCGCAGGCTCTGCATAATGACATCGACCTCTTCGTCCTCCTCCTCGCCTCCTTCCTTGTCACTCGATCTCTTCCTGTTCTTCTTGTCGGTCTTCTCTCTCGCAAGCCCCTGCAGAGTCTCTTGCAAGGTAGAGATCTCTGACTTGAGTAGCGCTACCTCCGCGTTGATCAGCGACGGGCTGCCAGGCTGCACGAAGGAGAAGGCATCGGACAAGGAGAGCTTTCCCTGGCTGTACAGTGATGCTCCTAGAGATGCCATCCCACTTGAGACCGCCAGGAGGATGAGGACACAGGTTGCCGCACAGAACCGCACGATGAACTCGTTGCAGTCGACGTTTCCTTCACGTCTCCATCGTTTGCGATGCGTTCTATGCCGCTTTCGACGATCATCGCCATCATCCACATCCACAAGCTCCTGTTCACTTCGAGTCACCACACTACTTTGCCTTCATGACCTACACGCCTCCAATGCAAGACTGCTTCACACATATTTCTGTCTGCTACAATCGTTTCTCCAACGTCTTCCTCGTCAACTATCGTATCGCATCCCAATCCCAGCACAACTCTCTTCCCCTCGCTCGCCTCCTCGCTCTCTGCATGTCTCCATGCCTCCATGCTTCCGTACCTCTTTCCATGCCTTGCCCTCTCTCGCCCTCTCCTGCTTCTTCTCCCACCATATCTCCCACCCCCGTCTCCTTCTCCTCCTCCTCCTCCTCCTCCTCCTCCTCCTCCTCCTCCTCCCCCTCCTCCTCCTCCTCCTCCTCCTCCTCCTCCTCCTCCTCCTCCTCCTCCTCCTCCTCCTCCTCCTTCCTCCTCCTGGCTAGTTCACCTATTTGCGGTCTTATTCCTCCTCCTCCTCCTCCTCCTCCTCCTCCTCCTTCCTCCTCCTCCTCCTTCCTCCTCCTCCTCCTCCTCCTCCCAGGTCCAACAACCCTTTCAATCCCTCTTGATCTTTTTTATCAAACATCGGGGTAGGGTGATATTCAATTTCAACGAAATAGGGGTACTAATATGAGGAAAGAAGGGTAGGGTACACAAATGGACTAAAAGGGTGGGGTACTTCTGCCCTCTACACCACGTCGGGCAACCAACTGGAGGAAGAGCGAGGCCGAGCAAGAGCATGAGCAGTAGAAGGAGGAGGAGGACGAGGAGGACGAGGAGGACGAGGACGAGAGGACGAGGACGAGGACGAGGACGAGGACGAGGACGAGGACGAGGACGAGGACAAGGACAAGGACGAGGAGGACAAGGAAGCGGGAGCGAGGGAGCGAGGGAGGGAGGGAGGGGAGGGGAGGGGAGGGAGGGAGGGAGAGGGAGTGAAGAGGAAAGGAAGGTCAGAAGATGAAGGATGCAGAGGAACTGGAGGAAGGAAGCAAGGTCACGCAAGGCCGGAGACGAGCCGAAGAGGACAAGACTTTGTATCATATATTTGTAGACTACATGGCTTTACACATCTATCAGTCGAACTTTCGTCAAGTTCGGCAGGAAGAGAGTAGCTCCTGCCCCAACGCTGAGAGCGATGGCACTGAAAAGAAGACTCTGATCAGAAGACGCCGTGCTGAACTGCAGCTGAGCAACCTGCTGGGGAGTGAGAACGACACGAGAGCACACTCAATGATCTCACAGCAGCTGAGATGCGACCGAGCGAGCTGAGAAGCCCCATCGCTACCCCGCGAAGAGCCGTGGGAAACATCTCCGTGGAAAGAATGTCAAGAATCTGCGAGCGTTTCAGTGCAAGACGAGGTCGAGTAGACGTGGAGGGTTCGGTAGGGTGAGGAGCAGAAGCGACGGGGCACAGAGCCAGGCACGCAAGGGGAAGGAAGAGAGGGAGAGGAAGAGAGGGAAAGAGTGGGGAAGTGGGAGGGAGGGGGAGTGGGGGAGTGGGGGCGAGAGAAGGAGGGGGAGGGAGGGCAAGCAGGTCACTTACGTTCCATCCGACGACACTCACTCCATTGAAGATACAGAAAAAGATACCAGTAGCGACGCCGTCTTTGGACAACCATGCTCCTATCGCGCTCAGAGCAGAGAGAAACATGCTAACAGAGAGCAGCGTGTTTCTTCCGATCACATCCACCAGCAAGAGGCTCAAAATGTTTCCTGGAAGGTTCGAAAGTGCGACAAGAACTGCTGTCTGGTACAGGCAGCTCCTTGTTGATGCCTCCCCCCAACATAGCGCAACGTTCTTCTCCTTGAGCATCGTCGGGATCCAGGTGGCAAGCCCGTACCACCCGAAGCAGATCCCGATCCACACGAGCGCGAGAAGGAAGGAGCGAGTCCGGAGGCGGTGCTGCCAGAGCTGACGTACTCGAAACCACAGCTTCTCGTTGCCGTGATCTAGGGATAGAGCCTTGATCCGCACCACCTGCGTCTCGTTGCTCCCGAAGCTCGCGCTGTTGAAGCGGCAGATATGGGAGACGGCCTTGGACGCCTCGTTGGTCTTGCCCTTGACCAGCAGGAAGCGCGGGCTCTCTTTGATTACGGTCATAAGGCAGATCGAGCACGCGAGAGCGGGAAGGGAGCACGCGAAAGCGAAGAGCCTCCACCCGTAAGAGGGGATGATGGCCCATGCCAACCCTGCCACCACGATGCTCCCGATCATCCAAGAGAGCGCCACCACCGTGATCGCCATGCCTCTGTTTGCAGAGGGAACGACCTCAGCGGGGTAAGCGAACACCACAGGAACGCTTGCTCCCACGCCGAAGCCGGTGAAGAAGCGAAGTACAACCATGACGTACTCGCCTGCCGCGAGAGCAAAGAGAGCCGTGAAGATGGCGTTGAGGAGCATCGAGCACATCAGCACTGGTCGTCTGCCAATCACGTCGCTCAGGAAGCCCCCAACCAGCGCCCCGATGAGCATGCCGGCGAACACCGCTGAGCTCAAGGCCCCCAAGCTCCATGCGGCGATCTCAGTCTCAATCTCCGGGATGACGTAGGAGAGCGACAAGATTTCAATGGCGTCTGTCGCGTTTGCCAGCCCGCATACCACCATGAGCAACTTCTGGTAACCCCCCACCCCCATCGCGTCAAGCGCATCCTCGTAGTCCATATCCTCCTCATCCAGCAGATCATCGCTAGTACCAGACGCGAGCTGGTCGGCGCTGAGGACCTTGACGTTCATGTCCTCCTCCCCCTCCCCCTCCTCGTTGTCGTTCTGCCTCCTCGACTCGCCATGTCCTTGCATGGGGGACGAGGGAGGAGTAAAAAAGGAAGCAAAAGAACTGGAAGAGGCGTTGAGGGGTGATGATGGATGACCAGTGCCCTAAGGAAACGTTCGGAGGTATCGCAATGCCGCCGATAAGCTCGACTTGGCGGGCGAGGAAGAGGAGGAAAGGCAGAGGGGGGGGAGGGGAGGAGAGCTGTAGTGAGAAGCAAGATCAGAAGGTACTTCTATCCAGCACGGAAGACACCGCCCTCCAGAGAGCCTGTGACATACCTTCCGACCGACCCAAAGGCTTTTCCTTGAGAGAGGATATCAGATTGCAAAGAACTTCAGAGCAGGTGAGCTTGTCTCTCGGCTCGATAAAGTTTCTCAAAGGAAGCTCTTTCCTACCTCTTGATAGAGCCCTCCCTCCTGCTGGCTCAGCCTCGGAGTCGCCCTAGGGGCCCCAGAGCTATTTCAGTATGTGTGCACATATGGTTTCTTCATGCTTGCCCCCAACACGTGGGACCCGCATCAGACGCTGCTAGAGGGTCCTTGGGGGAGACCTCTCCCAGGAGTCTTCTCCCGCCCCCTCAGCATTGGAGGATCGAAGACGGTAAGGGGAGGGGAGAAGGGGAAGGGAGAGGGAGGAGAGGGAGGAGAAGCAAAGGGAGTGGAGGAAGAGTTCTGAATGAGAGCGTTCAGGTTCATGTCAAGTTATGCTTCTCGGCATCGAAGTGGACGGATGAAGACTCGTCAGAACGCGAGCTGATCGCTTTCTTGGAGGAGAGCCTGGGGGAGGAGGAAGTCGGCGAGGTTGTTAGACAGGTGGGGCCCTCGACTCTGCACGTCACGCAGCTCAGCAGCTCTCGACAGGTCACCAGGATGCTGCGGATCTCACCTGAAGACAACCGACGCGAGCAAGAGTTTCGTTCTCTCTTCCCACAAGCAGAACAAGACCACTGGTTCCGGTGGGCTCCAATCCTCCTCCTCTGACCTCGTGTCCCCCAATGTTTCGTCCTCATCCTCGTCCTCATCCTCCTGATGCTCCTCGTCGTCCTCGTCCTTGTCCTTGTCCTTGTCCTTGTCCTCGTCCTTGTCCTCGTCCTCGTCCTCGTCCTCGTCCTCGTCCTCGTTCTCGTTCTCGTCCTCGTCTTCGTCCTCGTCCTCGTCCTGCTCCAGGCCCTCCTCTCATCCGTCTCAGGTTGTTCCGATCGCCCAGCATGTTTGAGGACGCCTGCAAAACCATCACCCTCTGCAATGCGGGGTGAGGGGAGCGCTAGCTGGAGGAGCGGCTGACCTGCTGAACTTCAGCTGGGGGAGGACGATCACTATGAACCAACTGCTGTGTGAAAAAGTCAGCAGCTGCGGCGGCTTTCCAACTCCCTTGGAACTGAGGTGAGGACCCACAGCACTAGCTGTAGCAGCGGCAGCGGCAGCGGCTCCAGCAGCAGCAGCAGCAGCGCAAAGGAAATTGCTGCCGCTGCCGCTGCCGCTGCTACAGCTAGTGCTGTGGGTGGTGGTGGTGGTGGTGTTGCTGCTGTTGCTGCTGCTGCTTCTCGTTCTCTTCCCCGTCCACCTTTTTCTGATCCTCACCCTTCTTGTCTTTGTCCGCATCCTCGCCCTCCCCTCTTGCTGATCGTGCTTTATTCTCCTCCTTATCTTTGCTGTCCTTGTCTTGCTCTTCGTTCTCTTACCTTTCCCTCTTGCTCAGCTCTTGGGATCCTGAGGACTTGAAGCGCGAGTGCGGCGTCGGTTATAGAGCAGCAAGACTCATCAGCCTCGCTCGCAGGTTCAGCTCCTCCTCCCGTGATCACTGCTACCTACTGCCGCTGCTGCTGCCACTGCCGCTGCCGCTGCTGCCACTGCCACTGCCACTGCCACTGCTGCTGCTGCCGCTGCCGCCTGCTGCTGCTGCTGCTGCTCATCTACGTCAACACTAGCGTTACCTCTGCTTGTGTCTAAGATTGTTCTGCCGTCAGAGCTGTCGAGTCGGAGGAGCTGGAGGAGCTGGAGAAGCTCGCTCGACGCTGTCGCTCTCCATCCGTCGGAGAGGCTCAGCAGGGCGAACTGAGGGCGAAGCTGCTTGCCCTCGAGGGGTTCGGCCCCTACGCGGTGAGAGTGGAGGCGGGGGAGTTGAGAAGAGAGAAGAGGACGGGGAGGGAAGTGGATGGGAGGGAAGAGGAGACAGGAGGAAGGGAGAGTGAGTCTGAGAACAGACAGACAACATGCTCATGCTACTGGGGATCTACAACAACATCGCCATTGACTCCGAGACCGTGAGCGTCGCTGCCCTCTCCTCCTCCTTTGTCGTTTTCGACCTCCTCTTCCTCCCTCCCTCCTTGTCCACACCTGCTCGTCTGATTTCACTCTCCTCCTCTCGCCTTCCTCTCTGCTCACTGTCTGGCAGCTCCGGCACCTCAAGTCCCTTCATGGCGTTGATGAAAAATCTGCTGCTCGGGCAGTACAGAAAGTGTCAAAGATATACGACAGGTGACGGGGGGACGGGGAAAGCGAGATGGGGAGAGAGGAGAGAGGAGGGAGTGAGGTGGAAAGGTCAGGGGAAAGCAGAGGAGGGAGGGGGGAAGGAGGGAGAAGGACGAAAGGAGGAGGGAGGAGAAGAGGAGGAGGGAGAAGGACGAGAGGAGGAGGAGGAGAGAGGAGAGGGGGAGAAGAGGAGGGGAGAGGAGATAATTTCTCCGGCAGGTATTGCCCATATCAGTTTCTGGTATACTGGCGGGAGCTGTGGAAGGACTACGAAAGGTTGTGCGGTCCCCTTCACCTCCTTCCCTCCTCTCGCTACTCCATGTTGTGCGCCAACCACATGAAGAAAATTCGAAGCTGAAAGGTGCCTCCCGTCCCTCCTCTTCCTCTTCCTCTTCCTCTTCCTCCCTTTCAGCCTCCGCCTCCATCCTCCTCCTCCTTCTTAGCTGCCGGCTCCTCTTCCTCCCACCGCTTCGCACATGATGTTGAGGACTCTTTACTTGTTAGTTGAACTTCTGCTTCAGCTACGGTCCAGTATCAGTGGAAGTGAAGTGAGTGTGGTAGAGGGGAAAGGAAAGCGAGGAGACGACGAAAGGATGAAGGCAGAGGAGGAAAGGCGAGTAGAGGAGGTGATAAGGTCAGAGAAGGGAGAAGGGAGGGAGGACAGAGGGGAGGAGGAGGAGGAGGAGGAAGAGGAGGAGGAAGAGGAGGAGGAGGAGGAGGACGAAGACCAAGGAGGAGGAGCAGGAGCAGGAGGAGCAGGAGCAGGAGGAGAGCGAGAGGATGCAGGTGGGGAGGTTGAAGAGGACGGAGGGAGTGACTAGGAGGAGGAGGATGGAGGGTGGAAGAGAAAGAAGGAAGAGAAAGAGGAGGATGAGGGTAGCCAGAACCTGCTCTAGTAGCTCCTTGGACTCCACGTGGTCGGGGTAGCAGAGCAAGGCTTGTTGTACCAGCTGAAAGCTCTCCTGCAGCTCTTTCAGCAGACCTCCAGCTGCCAGCAGCTGCTCCTTACCTGGGCATCTCCCAGCTTGTAGGCCAGAAGGGCAGAGTTGAAGGGAGGCTGCAGTGACTTTAGTACCAGTTATTCCTTCCTCTTCCTTCTCCTGCTTTTTCTGCTCCTTCCTGCTCCTGCTCCTGCTCCTGCTCCGTCTCCGTCTCCGTCTCCCTCTCCCTCTCCTGCCCCTGCGTCTACTTCTCGTCCTGCTGTCCTTCCTCTCGCCCTTCTCCGATGTTTATGTTTCCATCTGCTCCTGCTCCTGCTCCTGCTCCTGCTCCTGCTCCTGCTCCTGCTCCTGCTCCTGCTCCTGCTCCTCTACATCCCCCAGCAACCTCCACCCCCCTCGACGTACCTCGAAGGCGTGAGGCCCCTGCTTGCCTGCCTCCTTGAACCCACTGCAACCAGAATTAGTGCCTCCTCCCCTCCCCTCCTCCTTCCCCATCCTCCTCCTCCTGCCTTCATATCCTCCCCTTCCGCCATCCTCTCCAGCACCTTCTTGCCAGCTCCACATTGCCCTTGCGCAGTTCGAGGATGGCGAGATTGTTCTGCAAGCAGCTCGTTACATCTCTTCCTTACATACGCTTCCGATTCCCGAAATTCTCCCTCCTCCTCTTTCCTTATCAATTCCTCTGCTCGTCTCCTCCTCTTATGTCTCTCTCCTCCTTCTCTCCTCTCCTCGTACCGTCGCCTCTGCATGGTTCGGGTCGGCAGCTACAGCGACCTTGAGAGTCTGCAGAAAAGTCACGAATGAAGCTAAAGAGACAGAAACAGGAGGGGGAGGGGGGCGGAGAAGGAGAGGGGGAGAGAGGAGAGCAGAGCAGAGGAGAGGAGAGGAGAGGAGGAGAGGGGAGGAGAGGAGAGGGGTAGAGGCGCGGGGGAAGAGTGGGGCAAAGAAGGAGAGGAGGGGAGAGGAGAGAAGAGGAGCAGAGGGGAGGAGAGGAGAGAAGTGGAGGGGAGGGGAGGACAAGAGATGTTTCACCTGATAAGCAAGTCCAAGATCTCCGATGCCGATAGCTATATGCGAGATGTTGTACCAAATATCCCCCTGCCACCTCTAGTGAGTTCGCCCATCCCCGTGCCCCGCCCCTAGAGTTCGTCCAACTCCCCTCCTCTTCCCCCTACCCCTTGCCCACCGTCATTCCTCCCTCCTTCTGCCTCTCATTATATCCCCCTCTTCTGCTTCTGCCTTCTCCCTCACTCCCCTGCCTCCTCCTGATCTTTTTGCTCTGCATCCCCCGCCCCTCCTCCTCCTCCTCTCCTCTGTACTTACAAGGGTGTCGTCCTCAGCAGAGATCAAAGCTTGCTCAAAGCATGTCAGGCTCATGTCGTACAGCCCTGCGTAGAAGCAGCAGAGTCCCAAATTGTTCCAGAGAGCCGAGGAGCTGACCTGTCCTCTCCGTCACTCACATTCTTTCCTCTCCTCATCCCCCTCCCTCCCCTTCTCCCCCTCCTCCTCCTCCCTTCCCTCCCTTCCGTCTCTCCTTCTCTTCACTCCCATTACCCCCATCTGGAGCAGCCGGCGGTAGTATCGCAAAGCAACTTCCGGCTAGCACCAATGTCAGAGCAGAAGAAATCGGCCAACGAGGGAGAGGAAGAGAGTCAGGAGAAGACGGAGGAAAGGAGAAGGAAGAATGGAACGGGCAGGGAGAGGGGAGGAGAGAGAGAGAGAAACGGACGAAGGGAAAGTAATGGGAGGATCCAGGGGGCAGGGGAAAAGAGGCCAGGGGGCAGAGGGCGGGAGGCAGAGGTGGCAAGAGAAGGGCAGGACAATGTAGCGGTGGAAGAGGAGGAGGAGATGAGTACCTGGTCG